CATCCTGCTATCGTCTCCCGGTCCCCCATTCATACTCATTGCTCGCGCTCTCTCGGAACAAATATTCATGCTTTTCTGCTCTTAATGACCATCGTGCTTGTTTTTCTCCCTCTTCCTCGTTTCAACCGACGCTTTTCGCTCTCTGATTTTTCCTCTGCCTCGGTGAGAAAAAAAAACATTATTGGCTTTAGATGGATTCACATGTATGGGCTTTTATTTTTTCTAGTATGGTTTTCTATTCGCGTGCGCCTCGAGAACACTTCTTGCGAGATACAGGGAATTTTTAATTTGAATAACCGAGCGAGGTAGTTGAAGAGAGAGAGAGAAAGGACATTTTAACGAGAATTAAAACAGCTTGATATGGTAATTAGATCGACGTTTATTCGGAATCCGCAATCGTATTTCAGTTTTCTTTTTGACACTCATTCGTCGCGATAAAAGAATCAAGGGGAGCGTTGTGAAATAATCGAAATGTACAAAAGCTTTTCTTTTCAGACGAACTAATAACCATAACCGCGGTCGAACATATCAAGGGGGTCGAATCAAATGCAAATCCAATGATTAAGCAGCGCTCGATCCCTTATCTCTCTTTCTATTGGTTTTGCGCCCGGAAGCAGCCAGGTTACAGATGTCTACTTCTCTCCGAGGCTAAACGACACTCAAGGGAGCACGTTTATCGCCGAGAGGAGGGCCATCAACCTTCCTCCTCTCCTTCACTTCTTCCTTCCTTGTTTTTTCGCTCTCTCCGTTTGTTTAACATCGCGGTGCAGTGATAAATACACCCGCCGCGGAGAAATATTAATCGCGGAAATTGCGCTACCTTGACCCGCTCTCTCACACACACACTTTCACACACACACTACTAGTAGATCCTTTTGAAGTGTGTATGGATTTTAAAACTCTTGACGCCAGCGATGATGACGTTTTCACCTTGACTCGGTGCTACGCTGCGCGAGTTTACTTATTTTTATGCGAATCTCCTTTTTTTCGCTTCATCGTTGAAGAGAGAGAGACAAATTAATCAGCTGCTGGATTATGCATGTACTTTTTTTTATCGTTTGCTTTTCTTTTTTTTCTTTTTCAATCGCTGGAAAGATAAGCTACTTGACCTCCATTCTATACCGAGCTTTGATTTGATGATTTTGCGCCCGCGCGTGGATGCACTTGTTTTCACTGCAATTAGTGAAATTAAAAGTTGTGTTATTCTTTTCAAAAATTAAAATCCTCTTCCTTATTTTCTAGCTGCGCTATTCGTCGCTGTGTTTTGAGAGCTCGCTCCAATTAACGATATGCTTTGAACGGGAAATACATATATAAAGAAATAACGCGGGGATATTTTTTCCTTCCCTTTATTTGCGCTTTTATAAAAAATGAGAAAAACTTAAAGAGCTTTTCCATTATAATAGCTGTCTTGAGTTGAAATTTCGGCTAAACTAATTATCGGGTATATAATTTTTCCATGTTGCTGAACTGCACGCATAAAAGAAAGAAAACTGCGTAACGGAAACTTTACCAGAAATGAGGTAATTATACGAATTAAGAACTTCAACAGGCTGCCCGAATGCCCGAAATAATTTGCATTTCAGACGGCATAAAGTCCCCTGCATTTTATTTCAATTAAAATGAAGCACACGCAAACAAAATAAGAGAAAAATTTAGGTAAATTGTCGTTTATTGAATATAAAAGGCTGCTCTCAAAGGAAAAGTCTTTCGAAAAATCGATATCTCAAAAAAAAAAAAAAAAAACAAAAAAAGGAAGAAACACGAGAAATCCATCTGGACGGCCATTGATAACGCGTGCGCGCAGAATTTTTCCTTCGAGGTACGCCGCGGGGTAGGCTGAAAAAAGAGAAAAACTCGTGTGTACGTGGCACTCGTAATAACCGCATGGGGTCTTATAGAGAGAGGGAATAAAGTGGTCATTGTTGCAGTCGTGCGCGTAATATATAAACCCCACGAGCAGTCGAAATTGTTTTTTTTTTTTTTTTCCGCCTCCACCGCCGAGTTTGGCGAGCGCATTCGAGAACGAGAGTGAGTGTGTTGCTCGGCGCGGCGTAGAGTGTCGACCTGAATTCCAGTGCATGACCCGAAACTCCATGACGTCACTCGCTGCTGCGCGCGAGCGAGGAGAGCCAACCCTCTGCTCTCTGCCTCGACTGCTCTCGATTCGAGCGCGAGCGTGTCAAATGAAGGAAAAAGGGCTGCTGCCACCGCTGGCACACCCTCCCTACGTCTCTCTCTCTCTCTCTCTCTCTCTCTCTCTCTCTCTCTCTCTCTCTCTCTCTCTCTCTCTCTCTCTCTCTCAAGTGCAGTCCGAAGGCTAGGCTGGCTGCCCTTTTTTTCTTCTTTCGTCCATTCACAGTTGAGTGAGAGGCTTTCTACTCGTCTACTTTTTTCGGCGGCCGTGTGTGTGTATATGTGTGTGAACGCGCGCGCGGTGCATTATTTTCATTATTGATCAAACGTGCGGCCGACGATTAACCGAGGCGGGCGGCTTTCAGCGCTCGTGTGCGAAAGCCGCATCTAACGCGAAAAATTAGGTCGCTTCGCGGTTTCCGCACTCTCCACTGGCTCCTGCGCGATACCACGCTTCGTTCGACGCTTGTTTTCTCGCTCGCTCGTCGTGAGCGCGTGCGACGTATCGATCTCGAAAGAGAGAGAGGGCGTTTCGATAGGTGTTTTTTCGGAATGCATCGAACCTTCCGCGAGACGAAGGCATTTATCACGCACGCAAGAAAGAAGCTTGTTAGGGCACGGATCGCCGATAAAAAAAAAAAGACGAGAGACCGAAGAATCCCCTACTTTCGCTCCATCATTTTATCAATGTAGCATTTATTGGCGCTCGTAAAATGAGTTATTTTTAGCAAAGAGAGAGCCGGAGAAACATGCAATTTCACTCTTGCCACGGTTCTTCCGCGGGCTGCATAATAATTTCAACACGTAAGCCACCTCTGGACATTTAAGAATGGCCAAATATAACTCTTCCGCTGGCTAACGCTTCTCTTATCAAACATTTGCCGCCACCGCAACTCATTCTCGCTAAAAAAGAATTACAGTCTTAATTAAAGTTCGCTCGGGAGAAAAAGAGAGAAAGAGAACATTTTGCGCTCTTTACCTCATAAATTCGACTATTTTTAACAATCAGATAAGTAACACAATGTTGAATCGGGCACAGAAGCATAGAGTTATATGTATGCCTCTTTAATCACATTGAGCAAACCAAAATGTATGTAGATAAGGCGCGCGCGCAAGAGAGAGAGAGAGAGAGAGTGAGAGGAAGTAAAATAAACTTTATCTGTATACGAAAAAAAAAGAAGTACACGATCGTCGAACCCGTGTGTTTGCGTGTACGTGTGCGGGTGTGTATTGTTTCTCCTGGCACAGGACGAGGCCAATTAAGCGCGGACTACTCGTTGACTATTATAGGCTCAATTGGCTTATGAGAGCGTGTGCGTCTGTGAGAGAAAGAGCTTCGGATAAATGGGTATTATTCTGTAGTCGACGATGACGGCCAACGACGAAACAAAAAAAAAATCGATTTCCTCGGCGGCAGTTAAATCATTCCTTTCACAGTGTGTTGCACACGGATGGTTTAAGTGGAAAATCACCCGAGTAGCGCAAGTAAGTCCTTTGGACCTGTCGCGTCCAATTGAACCTACGCTTCGGATTTTTCTTCCAGACTTCGACTTGTTCCTCCTCTTGTGCAAGCGACGAGGAATTCGAGGACGCTTTTTATTTTTCGCATTATTGAAATCCAGCCAAATCGTCGAGACGATTTTTAGATCTGCTCTGGAGCTGCCACGCGCGTCACTCTTTTTTTTTTATTCAAACCAGATATTTCTATTTCGTTGTCTTTCTTAGCCATTAAAAAAAATAGCTCGGACTTTGGACGTCGGCTGAAATTTCTGCGTTTCTTCTTTCCCATTCGTCGACATCCCTCCACTGGTAGCCCCTGGCTAAAAGCCGGCGTGATTGTGACTTGTAATTTATTAGAGTGGAAAATCCTCTCTATTAAGCCGTAGGGAGGATTCGCTATTCTAAATAACTTCTGCTCAGAGAGACGTGCACGCCGAACGTGAAAATTCCGGCCATTAAGAGAAACGCCGAGTGAAACGTACGATCGCCGGTTCCCTCTTCTCTTTATTTCGCAGTAAAATATTATTTGGGCCAAGTAGACAGATGTGCTCTGAAATTTCATTTAGAGTGTCGCGCGCGCAGTGCCAAATATTCTTGCTGCAGTTTTCATGATTTATATCTCTCGCGCGCTCGGGATATCTGTCTTGTATTCTATCTTCACTCTCGATCTCGCACATGCTCTTTTCAACAATGGCCGAGTTTGAGTCCACGTAGCCGCGCGCGCGCACGCGCGCGTGTGTGTATGTCACAAGTTTATCCAGCGAATCTCTCTCTTTCTTTCGCGAAACACTTGATTCTAGGATGGTAAAACAAAATAACGGTGAAAATCACGAAGCAGCCTTTCCACTCACTTTCATTTTTTATGCGAGCAATGGCTGTTTGCTCGCGTATTCATGGTGTTTGCTCACAGTTAATAAATTATTTGCCCGAAACGCGCTTGTGTGTTTGCGCGAATTGATCGATCGCTCGGCCGAAGCACACACGCGCAATTCATTAACAAGAGGTGGTAAATATTTGGCTAGAAATTCGTTCAACAAAATAGAAAACGTTAAAGCAAAGGATGAGACAAGTGAAACACAATGCCATTAATCAGTCAAGATAGAGGAAGAAGGGGGCGGGGGGGGGGGGGGGGGGGAGTAGAAGGAATCGCGTAAAAGCACAGTGGAATTAGCGAATATTATCCCGAACACGAGCAGAAGCAGCAGCTGCAGCCGCGCAATTGCCTCCACGAAATAATAACGCATCCGTCACGACCTGATTAAAATTGACGATGCTCAAAGAGACGGAGTTTTGCATTCATCATTTTTACTCACTCGGCACCCACGCGTGCACTAAATTGTCTTTCGTTGGTTGTGCTGTTGCAGAGGCGAAATTCCGGGGCGATGCTGGATCATAGCGAGCAAAATGCCCTCATGCTACGAGTGTCCGGTGAGTATGAAAAACCATAATTGGCCTCACTGTTAAAATAAACACGAAAGCGCGCGGGCGCGGATGATTTATTTTCGAAGGAGTTTCTCGGTGGAAGTGTCGCGCTCTCATTTTCCTCCGCGGACTGACATTATAAATAGCCGAAGTATTAGGCGAGACGAACATCTTTCATTTTTAAGTTTTAAAACTTGTGTAATTGACTAATTAGCAGCATTTGTACGTGCACGCGTGTCTCTGTTTTATTTTTACAGTTACTGAATAATTTTACGATTCGATGGTATTTATAGAGGAAATCAAAATAAAAAGAGGCGCTGCATGCCTTTAAAACTTTTCGTAATAGCTTATTTTTACTGGATTTTATTATAAACTCGTTTGTAATTGAATACTTTTGATAAAGCGCCAGCGATCTCCTGCAAAATGACAATTCACTCGTTTATATTCGCTATTTTACTGCTCCACCCGGTGAGAAAATTAATTCGACGCGGACAATATCTACGCCGTTACAACGCAAAATAATACACTCATGATATTTGTGTAATCGAATACACTACTACAGTAAATTTTCAAATTTTCTCTCCATAAAAGTGACATCGATCGATATCATATCTTTAGTAATCGTTTTTTCGCGATTTATCATCGTTTATTAAAAATGAAAACAGTTTCATTTTGCATTTCATTGTAGTCACCGGGAAGAATTAGAAATGTTAAATATCTGTATTTGAATATTTACTCGTGGTTTTCCTTAAATTGCATTAAAGTAGATGCATTTTAATCCTGATCTTTCGCGAGTAAAAATGATGACAATTTGTTATCTGGACGAACGAGAAATTAAGGTCATTAAGGAGGAAAATCTTTGAAAATTTGAACAATTTATCTCTGTAGAAATGTTCATTTCAGTTACAATAGAGCCATAAAGTTCTGGTTTTTCTTTTATTTGCTCTTTCTCTTTCTGTACGTTTAAGTATAAAATAGTTTTCAACTTCTGCACGTTAAGTAAACACAAAAAAGCAGTTGACATTTGAGAAGGAAAGATATTTTCAAATTTTACCATTCTCCCACTCGATAAATCTTTTGTGATATGGTTGTAACGCAGTTTCGTTTCCTTTCTTTTTTACTAACGGCTAAAGGTGGAGATTAGTACGGAAAGTCCTTAATGTGTTTCACACATCTTCTTTTTAATAGAATGCTTTCGTTTCAAAATGGTATATTAGATGAACACAATGAAACAAAAAATAGTTATCCATTGCTTTTTCGAGTAATAAACTTCTTTAAGTTGTATCTACGTTCACAATTTTAATAGTGAAAAATTAGATTTCAAAATATTTAATTAACATTCAAATATAAAACCAACTCTCAGCCCTCAGTGTGTGCGTGCGAATTGAAATAGCAGAAAAATCACACAAAGGCGTAGGAAAAAAATAGCTCCATGAGTAAACGTAGGTCCTCAAACTTTTCCAAGTAAAACACCAACTATCCATAAATTAAATCACGAAAATTTTGCCGATATAAAACAAACGGAAGGAAATTTGCGTGATAACAAGAAGAATAGGAGCTGTATCTATAGGAAATCACAAGATATTTTTTTTTGCAAAATCCACAGAAGAGACACAAGCAAGCAGCAAGGCCGACGACGACGATGATGACGATGATGACGAGGAGGAGGAGGAGGAGGAGGAGGAGGAAGACGTCGAGATTTTAAGTCCTGACAACCAGTTAAGCGAGCTGGAAAGGTTTTTACTATCGCAGCTCGACGTTACTCAATATCGACCGAAGCACGTCGGACGTTTTCTCACTATGCACAAACGTCGTCGCAAGCGTCTCGTCACGCGGTCGCTCGCCCAACAACCCGCTTTGCTCGACGATGTGTTGCACGGTCAGGTCCAGGTGAGTCTTTCGATCGACGAACAAATCCAGCTGAATTTTGTCTTTTTACCGTCTTCGTGATTCTTCTTTCGCAGTGTGTGCTCGAAAGGGTGGATAACTGGCAGTTCAACGCGTTCACCCTGGAGACGGTGACCGGAGGTGAGCTTTTATTATTCCTTGACGAGCTTCATTTGCATGCGACTATCCGTAATCTTGGCGTTTTCGTGCTATCTCGTAGTTCTCTCTGACGAGCGCTGGAGATTCTTTTCTCTTGCGTACATCTCGTAAATCGTGGGAGAGATGGCTTTTTCAAGACAGGTGGAGCTCCGTTTTTCTGTCTTTTCTTTGGGCTATTGAATCAGGAACACTGCTCCTCCACTGTTAGTCTTTACCCAAGGGATCGAGCGACATATCAGTTGCATCTGTGGACATTCTCAATACGCATACTTTTACTTTGCTGCTTCGATTTCACTTCCTGTTATTATCTCAAAACGGCGTATTCAAATGAAAAATAAGCATTGCAAACGTGGAAGCTCGTTTTAAAAGTGCGCGGTTATCTCCGACGCATAATCTGAAATGCAGTTGGTATCCTTTACTAATTAACTGATAAGAGCTCGAGAGACTTTGTAACGAACCTTCAGACCAAACAATGAAAACGGCATAATTAAACTTCCTTGGCAAAACAAAAGCCGTCAATATTGAAGCTCTATCCTATGGTAAATCTGCGCGTAATATTATACGCATCTAAATAAGAATAAAATTTGATTGAAATTCAATAAGGTTGTAAAATTAACTTTTCGAAATGAATTAACGCTCTGCGAGCGATAGTTATAATAGCATTCGAGATATAAGATTAGGAGGTAATATAAGTTGCCGTTGCTGCTATCACGAATTCGAGGCCGAAAATTAAACGTCAAAGTTGAAATACGCTTTTGCAAGTGCATCAACGCCATCGTCGTAGTCGCGGGTGCGTGAATATTGCATAGTCAATTCATCGGAAAATTCGATTTTATGTGCTGTAAAATCTGGATTTATAGTTGAAGTTAAATTAGCTTTCACGTGCCCGCGAGCAAACTTTAATTAATCTCTCTGGAAACTATTTATAAATAAATTTGCCAATTAACCCCACTTCCAACCCTCGACGTTCTATAAAACCCCCTTCTTAAACGTAAAAAAAAAAAAGAAAAACGGAGCGCACGTAAATTGCCAATTAACCTTGATGCATCTTGGAAAAAAAAATTGTTTCTCTTTTTGCAGGTCGATCTCTGCCAGTGTTATGCGTGCACCTGTTCCACGAGTACGGTTTGCTGAGCCACTTCGACCTCGACGTCGTGACGGTTTGGAAGCTATTCAGTAAGATTCTCTCTCTCTATCTTGCTTAAAATCTGATTAATCCGAGCCTCAATAGGCAATCGGGCAATCTGAACTCAATTTCAACTGAACTTGCATGTTGATTAACTTTTGAGCGAGGGGAGAGAGTGGAGGGTGGGATCAAATAACAATAGATTGGACAGATGTGAGCATTTGCCATCGAGATTGAGATGGTTTTTATTTGTTTGTATTTGAAGCTCTGATCGATGAGGGTTACCACAGCACAAATCCATACCACAACAGTATACACGCTGTGGACGTGACGCAGGCGATGCACTGCTTCCTACAGGAGCAGCAGATCAGGGGAAATCTCAATTATCTCGAGATCATGGCGTCTTTGATCGCCGCTGTCACCCATGATCTCGATCATCCCGGCGTCAATCAACATTTCCTCGTCGCCACCAGTAATCATTTGGCTGCTCTCTACAAGGTTAATGGTTTTCTTTATTGGACGCTCTCAAAATAATTAAAAGATCTTTGAATATTTAATTATCAAACTCTTCGTTCGAACATTAATAAGATCAATTTTTAGTCCGACAAAATTACTCGCTTCAACTTGTTAATTGTAGATTATGAAGTGAAGCTCTGCTAATGAACAATTCGTGGCAATCAACGTCCCTATAATAACGTTATGCTGTCAAAAGTAACGCAATTACACATAGAGACAAACAGGCAGGCAGAAAAAATTAATTATGCGATATTCCAATTGAAATATTTCAAGTGCTTCCGCACCAACAATCACTTCGTAGCGCAATCCAAAAAATAGGTCGTTACAAAATGAGAGACGAGTGGAAAAGAAATGACAAAATTCATTTTAATTTCAAAATGAATCTCCCTCAACCTTGATGTGCGGAGAAAAAATTCGGATATGCGAAGGGAAAAAGATAATAATTCAGTGCACGAAAATTATCTATCTCGGTAACGGCGTACACGTTGTTTGAAAAGCTATTTTTTTTAATTATCCAGAAACTCCTGAGTTTGTTTTGAGAAAAATGTATTCATTTGACAACTGATTAGTTTTCCATCGTTATAAGTACATCCTTCCGTGGATTTACGGCTTTGGCAAATCATCTTTATATTTCCGCTTTAATGTTACATTACTCTTTTCTCTCTCCGCGACTAATCCACTTTTTTAACTCGTCATAAAAAAAAACATTCCGCGACGTTTGCTCGGAAAAAAAAGAAAGAAAAAAAAGTTAGCGTTCTTTTCGTTGTTATCGTATGATATTTTACATTCAAAATCCATCATCTCCCCCGGTCGAAATATAAAATTTAAATAAAGCTTGACCAACCAGCAGCGCCGCACAGAATTTTCGAGTAGTTGTTTACCCAAGGTTTTGACGTCTACGTTTTCATTTTTATGAGTGTGTTGCAAGCGGGCGCACACAACGTGTCGCGGAATAAAAATCATATTTATCCAAAGCTCCCGGGGAGCGAGAGAAAGAGACAGAGAGAGAGAGAGAGAGACATCAGTAAATATCTCGCTGTGAAACCAAGAACATCGGGATGCTGCACGCACACTTGCCACGCGCAGGAACCGACGCGAGAGTTAAAAATACATATAATTTTTTTATCACGCGCGCGCGTGCGACTTTTACACTGACGCACACATGGCTAATTAAGTTGACTGCCTTTTTTCTTAATTTTAGAAAATTGATTTTTTCTCGCATGACGAGCTCTCTCTCTCTCTCTCTCTCTCTCTCTCTCTCTCTCTCTCTCTCTCTCTCTCTCTCTTTTTATCTCTCCCTCAAGAGAAAGAGAAATATCTAATTAACCGCGAGGACGATGCGTAATCGTGCATCTTAATAATCGCATGCACACGCGCAATTCTTCTAATTTTTTTTCTAAGAAAGAATCAACGTTTTAGCAAATATTTGTCGCCGCTGCCACCTGTGAGTTGCTCCCATGGAAAGGCGGCGACACTCGTAACGAGATTAAGTTGTCGAGCTTTTAAGTAAAGCAAAGCTTTTAAACGTTTTCCCGTTTGAATCTCTTTTCATTCATTTCCCTTGACAATTGCGTTTTATTAAATTTATCCTTTTAATGAAAACACAAATTTTGCCGTTTTATCTATTGCTAATTAGACATTGTGTTTGATTTATACGCGCGCCATCGTTTGAAATGTAGAGCACTGAACGGTGGCTTTTGCCAATGTCCCGGATATGTCAACCAAAAGTTTTGTGAACTGTTTGCAATAACTATTCAACCGGCATTCTTCTCTGAGCTTATTCTATTACTTGATTTCACTGCAAAACTAATAAAAGCGCGTAGTTCTATTTCAATGAATATATGATAGACATTTTTTTATTTCAATATGGATCGAATTTTCTCACTCGAAATCCGCACGCGGGAACAAGTAAAATATCTGCAGGTTGACATTTTCATCGTAGTACAAATTGAAATACGTTCGTTAATTCTCATTCGCAAATTCTCTTTTCGTTGTAACTTAATTTTTATTTAGATATCCATTTTATTTCGTGACTCTATCGAACTATCCTGCATGTCTATTCACTTGTGTTTCTTTTTCTAGAAAAAAATTTTACTACACGTCAAGTAAAATTTTCTGCTTTATCGGCTAGAATGAAAAAAAATCTACCTTCAACCCATTTCTACCTAGCAAATATTTTTACACGTATTAGTTTCGTATCCAACTGAGGAAAAAAAGAAGCTTTCCATGAAAATTCTTGACACAAAAATACAAACACTGTTATTATGCTAAATGCGCCATAAGATTTATAAAATATTCTCGATGTGCGCATTGGAAGTTGTAATATATCCACTCGAGTGAAGAATGATGTCAAGAAAAAAATGTTTTGTTGAAAAAGAAAAATATTTTTTTGTTTTTATGTTCGGTGCAATGAATAACAATAATATCCTATTCATAAGTATACCATTGATGTGTAGTCTTCAAGTGCAGGTGCACCAAGCTGACGTGTCTTTGACTACATTCATATTTAAACAGGTCCAAAAAATTTTCCAGTTTCAAATATAGATTAAATCAAGCAAATCAAGTTTTTATAAGTGATTTATTCTGCACACGTAGACTCTTGAGACTCTTGCTTATCTCGAATTCGAAAGCAGCTTCGCTGAAATAAAAAAATATTAAGAAAAAAGAGTATTCAGGTTAATCTGATTTTATGTCAGAAGCTAAGAAATATAAAAACTCGTTAAACAAAAAACGAAAAAGAAAATCATATTTTTGAAACATTGCAGAACACGTCGGTATTAGAGAATCACCATTGGCGATCAGCAGTATGTTGCCTCCTGGAGAGCGGAGTAGCAGAACAGCTACCAAAGGAAATCAAACCCGAGCTTCAACGTCACATCAGCTCGCTAATTCTTGCTACTGACATCACTCGGCAACAGGAGTTTCTAACTCGATTCAAGGTACACGCCCGTGAACGAAAATTCTTCCGTGAGACAGGACCTTTTCCTTCGCCGTGTCGGGACTTTCGATGTGACCATTAACGGTGAAATACAGCAAGCGGAAAAGCTCGTTTCTCTCTCGAGAATATTAAGCATTATTGTGGAGGCTCTTTGGATTTTTTCGAAATCAACACCGAGTCTTTTTGCATTGATAAGCTGACGCTCCGCCACTCCTCCCTTCTTCTAGCTCACGCATGAGTTCGTTCTGCGGATAAAGCTTTATCGAGGATTTTATCGCAAGATTTTCATCGCAGTTGATTTGTAAATGAGATTTTTCCTCTCAAAGGTCTCTTGCGAAAAGTTTTTTGATATTACGATAAATATACCCGGCAAAGAAGCTATAAAACGTCAATCGTCAATAACATTGTAATTTGGTTCAAGTTTCATCTTCTTTTTTTCTTCTTCAATAGCAGGTTTGTTAGTACTTCAAGGCTCGGACGATTTTCAAGAACTTTTCTTTTTTTTCGGATTTTAATGAGAACTCAAAAGCTTCTTATACACTTGTAAACCACAAAAAAGTTATACAATTTCAATGGCATTGCCTTTTTTCTCGAGTATCAGCTTTCGACTTTATTGAAAAAATGTATGTGTATTGTAGCAAAACGTTTTGGAATTCGTTCGAATGCGCCGCACGTAAACTGACATTACGAAATCGATATTTGCAAGATTGAAAAGTTCGGAGTTCACTGCGAGAGCGGACAAAGAAAATAGAACGAGCTCGCGAATAATGCCGTAATGCCGTATCAAATGTTTCGCATAAAAAAAACTGACTATCACTTACAATGAATTGATTTGATTATATCCCCAGAGATACCTGGACAACCGTGACTTGGACATGGAGGTTCCAGATCATCGTCACTTCATTTTACAAATAGCATTGAAATGCGCGGACATTTCAAATCCATGCAGACCGTGGGAGATATCGCGTAAATGGTCGTACAAAGTCTGCGAGGAGTTCTTCCGGCAAGGCGATTACGAGAGGCAATTGAAATTGAAGCTGACGCCGATGTGCAATCGTCATGACACCACTATACCCAAGATTCAAGTTAACTTCTTCAAATTCGTCGTGCTGCCGTTATACGAGGAGTGGCATCGATTCTTAGACAACGACTTCAGTAGGTCGTTAATGCAAAATTTTAGATCTAACGAGAAGCAGTGGGAACTGCTTGTAGAGCAAGAAGACGCGGCTGATCCAACTGCTGCTGCTGCTGGTTCTGTTGCACAGCCTGACTCTACGGCTTCGGATAATGCTACAGAAAATGTCGAAGCTTCCGAGGTTAGCCTTCGTTTATTATTATCGTTACTTCTTCCTTTCCTTCTTTGCTCACTGAAAAGTGAACGTTGTGTAAGATAAAAAGAGGAAAGTTTGTTGTTCTCAAACTCTGTTAAGAAAGCTTTTCTTATTAATGCAAGCTTTGTAGAAAAGAACGACAGGCAATCGATATTTTATTCAAGAAACGAGTTCCGGTTGTAAAATTATATCCGTGTCCAAGTTTTTCATGGATCATTAAATCGCGTTGCTTCAACTTTTCTTATTGATTTTACACAGTAAAAAGGCAAATGAAACCAATTCCCCGGAAAATGGAACCACTAATATACTCCTCAACGATAGCACCCGACAAATTTTTCCAACGCTCGAATTGAATTCTATCGGAGAAAAGCTCAATAGCCTATAAATTATTTATAAAAATAATAGTTTCCGTGGAGAGGCAGTAAAAGAAAAACCTCGCTTGATCGAGTACTCTCGAACATTCGACCCTTTCCTTCTCAGAGAAGCTTCCGTTACCAACAAAAATATTTCACTAATTGGACTTGAGATGCTTTCCTTTGTTTTGATTTCATTTTGTTTTTTTTCCTTTTCTTATTTTTGTTCATGCTCCGGTTATTAAAAACCAAAAAAGCCACAGTTCTATCGACGCTGCGCGCGCGGAGAGTAATAAACGTTTGATGAGAGTGCGTAACTCGAACCTGCGGTTTCCGTTGGCAAAGAGTACCTGCAATTAAGAGAGAAGCTCGCGTAGCCAGCCATAAAACTTATCGGGCAAAACTGTGGACTTGCTACAATTACACGGATTCGCTCTCCCAGTGCTATTGCATTCTGAGAGATAGGTTTCATAGGCGAGCTCGCGATCGCTAAGAGAAATGAATTGTCTCGGCACTGATTAATATTATTCACTTCAAAACATTGATTTGTACCTATATTCATTTCGAGCGCATTCAATTAAGTTGTTCGATTGATTCGCAAGGTTATTACAGCTGCGTCATGATTTATCCAAGGAATACTAATATTTATTATATTGTCATCCTCCTCACTGCAGCTATTATGCTTTTGAACAGGCTATCGACAGACGTTTAATAAGTTTTCGATTGGATGGACATTCGTCGATGACGTGTGCCGGCAAATCATTTGAATATGGCTAAATGAGAATTTCGATTCTGCGATCTCCAAATGCGTGCGTTACGTCAATAAATCCCAAACGTTTGGTCGTGTTATTTATTCTTCTTTTTTAAAAGCCCACGTTGCATTTTTAATTTCGACGTTCGGAGAAAGAAAAAAAAAACGAGGTCAAAAAAATATACACATATATGCGCTTGATGATGCGAAACTCACGCCGTGCGTCAAATTAGGTACTTTTATTTAATCCTTCGTAGTGACTGCGCGAGAGTTATAACTTTTTTAAAATCGCTATTTCCCGACCCCCCAAAGTTTTTTTCCCGACGAAGTTTAATGTTGCAAACTTAGTTTCGCTTCGCGATCTTCTTTCGACTTGTAAGCGACGAAAAAGATATATAAGAGATACTTATATATTTTTCTGTGTACTCCGCGTCTTGAACGATCATCTAATAAGGAAACGAATATTTTCTTCTTATGCGCCAATGTTTACCGTTCAGATTCGATATTCTTCCGCAGTTTTTCCTGCTGAAATGCACAAAAATATATTGCTATTGACAGAAATATTTAATAAAAAGGAAACTCGAGACAAGTATGCGCACGTCGGAGAAAAGCAAGTGGCCATTGAATTATATATTTCGCTTCTTTCGCCCGAACGTCGCATCCTCTCAATTGATTAATCAATTCGCACATGATTCTATCGTGGAAATAACTGTCAGCGGCGTATGCGATCGCTCACGGGAACATATCGAAAAGGCATCGCTCGGCACGTGTTCGAAAACGAGCCTCCTCAAACGAGAGCCCCGATAAAAAAAAGAAAAATAAACAAAAATCACTACTATAGCCATAAAAAGGAGAAAAAAACGTTTGCTTGTTTGTTGTTGCAGCTGACGGAGGATTCGGGCAGTTTGGAATTGGAAGTGACGTCGGCGAGTTTGTTGGTGCCAGCGCAGCGACAGACCCGCGACAGACGTCACTCAGTGCCGCTGGGCGTGAGCCGTAGCCTGTCGCTGGCGCCGAAGCCGACCACAGGTCGCCGTGACAGCGCGCCGCGCTCCGGCGCAACACTGCTGCCGCCGCGCATCTTCTACCCGCGTCCCAGTCATTATCAATCCTCGCCAGCGAACATCACCGGCTTGAATTCACCCGAGCGACCGGTCAGCGCGGAGAACTTACTTCCCGAGCCAACCATCGCCAGCATTGCCAACAGTCGGGAAGCATCCCAGCTCTGCAGTCTTGTTCAGCAACAACCTTGGTGCGTTCCTTTGTCTGTGCCTCTCTAACGCGTAAGAGGATTTCGAAAGCCAATGGGCTTCCTCGTTCAATGGGCCATCTACATCGAAAAGGCCAGCCTTTTGACAGATTTTCCCCCCTTTCGGCTTACTAATCAAGTCCTGCCTCTGCCGACGAGGTGAATAGGCGCCTTCCTTTTGTTTTTATTTCACCTCGGGCTCAACGCGTTAATTCCGTTACGCTAACGCAATTTTCCTTCGCGGACGAAAAAAAGAATAACATAAAATGTTGCATTTATTTTTTCATCCCACCATCCGCGAGTAAATAATTCCGTTACGCCGCAGACCGGAAGTTCATTACGGATACGCAATTAATTGATTACGCGCCGCGGGCGTTGTTTTCTCGGTTTTTTCTTTCTTCTTCTCTTTTTATTGGGATCTGAAATTTTCAAAGGTACTTGATAACGGCTGTTGCGTTCAATTGAGCTTATGAGTTTGGAACTCAAAATTGTTCAAAGTGACGGGCTCAAGGGAGCTCGCGAGCCGCGAGGAAATGCTCGCTACGCTGAGTTTCGCGTAGGATAAGACGACGAGAGTAAAGTTGCACAGATCTCGAGGAAAGTCGCGTTATAAAAGCCGGGCGAAAAATTGATATTGAGCTTCATAGCAAAAGCGTATATACCAAAACAATATCGAAGCACCGTATACACATTCTTTGCCGAGCCAGGGGAAACTAGTTTATTGCTTGTCGGTAAAAGTCTTCTCTCGCGCGAGAGCTCTTTTATTATCTCGAGATTGAAAATTTTCTATTTTCGCGCGCGCGCGGGAAGCATCGCGAAACACTTCTCTCGCTCTCCGGTAGCCGAAATCCTCGGCGCTCGAGCAATATTCAAATCCTCTCTCTTTTTCTCTCTCTCTCTCTCTCTCTCTCTCTCGGGGCTTGTTATTATTGATTAAACGTTCCGCGCCGTCGAAAACAGAGAATGCTTTATAACTGGTTCTCGCGTGCGCGTATGCGTATTCAAATGAAACGTAATCTTTCCTCTTGTTCTCGCACTCTGCTTTTTGCAGCGGCCTTGGCGAACTATCGCTTTCAATTAAATTAAAAGTCGAGAGCGCGCATTTCGGCAGCTCGAATGAAAATATAGTCGCCTCGCGCAGTCGTTCCGTTTGCGAGCGATTCTTCTGATATCTCTGCGGACGATTTGAATATTTCAACGCCAGAAAGAGGCTCCGCGCGCCTTTTTATTTGCCTTCGCGGCAGGCGAGCAAGTGTAGCGATTTAAACGTCATTTGCTTATTGCAAGGTCGTCGACTTCTTCTCCGGCTCGTTTTCTATTTCTGCGAAACAATAACGGCATTTCAACCAAGCTTACGTAAATGCGAAATGCAAATTCGACATTGTTTGATCTCGAGGCTTCCATCTCCGCTCGATCGGCCGCGGCGTTATCGGTTATCGCGCGGCTGTCCTTTCAGACGATCTTGTCGCACAGGCTCGTGTGAAACAAGAGAAACCCGAATTTTCAGGGAGAGCACGCTGTTCGATCAGCCGCCGGCACAGCGCCAAGGCACGCTCACCCGCCAGCAGACCTTCCCGCCTCTTCAGCCGTTCGTGCGAATGCGCTACATGTCGACGACGGCCGAGATGTCGCAATGCTGCACGGAGGTGCTCCTCGAGGCGGACAGCTCGTCGTCGCGCTCGTGCTCGCCAGTGCCGCCGGCCACAGACAGCCCGATCGTCGACAGCTTGCCCCTGCCGCCGAGCGTCACGACGTCGGCGTCCACGGGCGAGTTGAGGAGACACTCGACCCCCGCGCAGTCGAAGTCGAGGTGCACCGCGAGCGCCACCGGCACGGGCAGGAGATTCACCACGATACCACTGACTCAGGAGCCCGGCCAGGAAAGGCAGCACAAAGTTTTCTTCATCGGCAGTCCACCCGACTCGCCGCCCAGATTGACCAGCGCCACGCCGTCGAGCGACAGTGGCAGTGGCAGCGTTCACGGCGAGCCGCGGAAGAGCGCGGACAACGTCAGTTTGCCGGGGAATAAGAGGGATTACAGCGAGACGAGAGGCGAGAAGAGCTCCAAGATGCTCAAGCTGATGAAGGAGAACGTCGACCCTCGGGCTGCCGAGGATATTAAGACTTCGATCGCGATTACCAACAGGCGCTCGAATAATCAGGCATGCTTTTCTCGTGCATTTTATTGGAATTCAGCTCCAGTCCGGATAAAACTGATATAGCAACCTTCCACAGGGCTGGGCAAGAAGACGAGGTTCGGAACCAGTTGGTTTGCAAGTCCATCTGGAAGACACTTGCGTACCAAATCGACCAGTCGAGCCAAACTCCCGACGCGGCTCTGTACCATCTGACATCACTGCACAACCGAGTCAGTTTTTCTTCCACGTGATTCCTCTTTTACATACAGGAAAGGCGTTAGCTAACGATTGTACTTCTCGTAGACGGAGGACCTAATCGAATCGGACTGAGCATGCGATCTGCTGACAAACAGTTGGGACCAAGTAGTAAACGTCGATCCAGTTTACCCCATGAAACAGCCATCGGCAATTTACTCAGCAATTTCACTCAACTTGCAGGTAAACCAGATCTACGGCGCACAGCTGAATTGTCTCACGCGCGTAGCGAGACAAAAAGACCTCGACATCCTTTCAACGCGCAATCTTTGTCAAGCTACAAGCTCGCTCGCGCGCGCGACTTTTCATCGTTAAAGCTATCTTAATGGGAGCTCTAATTTTTAGATTTTCCAATGGATTCGATGAGACTTGACGAGAATTATATCGATTCAACCAACTTCTTTCTTTTTCGGTTGAGAACACGACGTGTAGAGTTTGCTTGAAAAACTGATCAAGAATGTTGAACAACCAATATTTGAGATTTTCGAAAGATAAATTTCAGTGCAAATTCTAACTGTCGGTTTTTGTATGTATACGTAATTCATACTGTGGATTATTTTTTCACCAAATATATAGCAACCCTTAATATTATTGCGCTAATTAAAAGAAGATAATTTTCGAATTAAGTTTGATTGCTATTAAAACTGGAAAAATGTAGATCCTAAACATGCAAATTTCAAGAACACTATAATTATGTAAATCAAAACTTTTAAAAATAATTGAAAATTTGCATGTCATAGATAGTGTTTTCGATTATACTATTATAATTCTCTTGTGTTGCAAATATTTTTCCCTGAAGCATTTATGTACAAGCAAAAAAACTAACAGATCAATCGCTGAAATATAGCTGTAAAACTAATCGATCTACGTCGTTACAGCTGATCGCGAGAACTATCCGTTGAACAACAACAACAACAACAACAATAACAATACAGGCAGCAATAACAACGGTTTCACTCGTTCAGCAATGGTCGAGGGAAGCCTAGCAACGCAAGTGGGCACAATTCTTAGTTCCCATCGTGGTTCCCTACCAGCGGACATATCCGAATTCCGACCGGACTTTGGACGCAATAATGGTGGCAAGTCACGCATCAATCGAAGCAGTAGCAAGAAATTGCTTCGTCGTCGAAGTAGTGGTGGCCCAGAGATGTTCGTTACGGATGGTGGTAACGATGAAAATCATCCACGATCTACCGCGTCCAATAACAGACAATCAGTACCACCGCCAACGTCGATCCACTCTAAAAGGCGTGGATCATTACCCATCGACATGCTCGGCGCAGTGCGTTACGTTCACAGATAGAATCGGCGCCCTATTCTGTACATACACGAGAGCTGAATTCTCATTTCGTTTGTTGGCTCATTGCTATTATAATAATTATTACTTTATCATTATTATCATCATCGTCATCATCATCGCCATCACCATTATTATTTGTATTATTGCGTTCGTATAACTTATTGTTCTTTCGTGATTTTTCGCGACGGTCAGTTATGTATATATTGTACAATAATAACGAATATGGTTTTAATTTAATATTATCTCGAACGGTTTTTATTTATTTCGGATTAGTCGTTAGTGCGTGTATAGAGAATCGTTTCTCTCGTGTTCAAGGCCCTATTACAAGATATTTGTCTCATTCAAAATGAAATACAATCGACAGCAACGACACGTGTGAACGTGCAAGTCAGTGGGTGTACGAGTGTGAATGTATGTGTTTGAGTATGCGGTTACCCTCGCCGTTAATAATTGTTCACGCCTATGTATCAGTTTTGTTCAAAAGGGGGTCGTCCGGCAATGCACGTATGCGAATGAGAAAGAGATAGAAAAAGAGAGAGAAAAAGATCTGTTATAGTTGGCCGATGTTTTTACTAAGTATTTCTTATTCGAGATGTAGGCATTGAAAGTTGTACATTCATCAGCCCATCAAAGGGTATATATAAATATCATTTCTCTGCCATACGATATCAATTGTAGATAAAAAAACGACGGATTTTTGTACAAACATATGATCAACTTCCTTGCACAAAATCGTCGACGTTTGATACCGGAATCAATTGCATTGCTTTTAATGTGCTCGCTACACGTCTTATAAATATATGTTGATCGTTAAATCAAATGAACAAAAAAATAATCTTATGAAATCTCTCGATGTCTCTCCTACCCCCCCCCCCTCTATTAGTGTCATTATTATATTATTACACGAGTCTTCCCGTGATAAATTTCTAAAAGTCTAGTCGTTGAAAAAATATATATGTGCAAGTTGTGCACGCCAAGTTCTAGCGTGCCATATTTGTTGATTCGGGCTATTCTTCGCTATTTTTATTTTTCGAGCATAAATATAATTGTCTTTTCTTATAATTTCGAAAAAATTAATAAAAGAAATAAAAATATACAACAGGGTTGCATAATGATAATTTACGCAATTATCAAACAAACAACAGATAAAACAAAAATAAATCTATAAGTACCAAGAATGAACAAGACTGGTAGAGAAATACTGCGCTGAAAAAGCATGAATTTAAGAAAAAATCAGCACACAATCTAGTTTTTGAAAAATTAATTTCGATTTTAATAATATGATGAAATATTGATCACTTTTTCTTTTTGTTCGTCTTCTTTATTTCAATTTACATTTTTTACTACCTTTATGTCTGTTCACTAACGTCAAAATATAAGTACACATATTAAGACTTGAATACACACACACGCGCGCGCGCGTATACACATATATATGTATATGAGGAGACATTGTACAAACCAGAATCAAAATTCAAACTTTTGCAAAGTAAAACAACATAATATTTATAACTGTACAAAGTTTCAAAGTCACCCACACATTTTGCTTCTCTTTCACGATGAGCTATGCTCGTTCAAATTTTTTTTGTAATATTTAAAAATAATAAGCGCAACAGTAGCACTAGTTTAGTAACATCAATGTCTTGCGTTTTGTCGTTTCATCAGACTGGCCGTAACTAGTGTCATTGCAATTTCGCTAGAGGCGTGTATGAAGATTGAGAAGGTCTAACATAATTAATGAAACTGCCGTATGCAAAAACCAGCTATGTAAGTTTTCTCGAAAGACTCGTCGATGGTTTTTTATAAAATAAAAAAAAAATTTATATACGTTAGGTAATTCGTCGAGAAACATTTTTCGAAAAATTTTTTTTACTTTCATTTTAGTATAATATGAAAATGTGCATATTAGATCGCTAATTACTAAGCATTGTACGATAATGAAAATTCATATGACATACGAAAACTTAGAACTGTATATAGCTGGTTATTCCATAGAGCGGCTAAATTGTAATTGTAATAATGAAACCATTGTCACACGAGTTTACCTTCCTAAGTCGTAGTTAATCTTTCATACATTTCATCGTCACATTCATATCGTCATTGTTGTTGTATTTAAATAAAATAATACCTCGAAGAAAAAAAACAAGAAGTGTTTATATAGATAGTCTTAGTGAATTAGACAATAGAAAAAAGAAACAAAGTGTCGTAAAACGAAAAAAAAGGTGTTTTTTTGATTAGTTAGTAGTAAAAATACTGCGAATAAACAGCGTAAGAGTGAGAAATGAGAATAAAAATGAACGTAATCGTCGTGATTTTTTTAAAAACAAATACACACCGTTGTACCCGAGAAAGTATAAATAAATAAATAATCATTGCGTGTATCACGCCGATAATGCGCGAGAAAAAAAATCAAAAAACGTTAATCAAGTTTCAAGCTACTTCCGAAATATCCCTCAACTTTTCGCACTCTCAAAAATGCTCATCTCAGTCTTTTGACGTATACTCATTCGTCTTTTACTTAAGCCCCTCTCCATCATGTGCATAGATATATATAGATACGCGTTGAAAACAGACAATTTGGCTGTACGATTATTCTTTGATAAAGCGAAATTAGAGATTGCAGGTTTATGACAAATGCTTTTTGACATGCTGTTTGCGCTAAAGCAATTTTTGATATTTTTGCATAGCCATTTTATGAAAGAAAAATAGACAAAAATAAGATCTAATTGTTTTTGATAAATTAGCTGAACAAAATTACCCAGAACTGCTTTAGCATAAACTGTAAATCAAACGCTATTTGTTATAAATCTGTCGAATCACAATATTATCAAAATATGACTATGGAGCGGCGAGTCTCGCCTGTTTTCAACACGTATTTGTATATTTGTATGTGGTAGGAGGGCAGCTTAAATGATGTCATCTCCGGAAAGTATAACGAGAACCAAAATAAATTACAAACTCTCTTAACGTTCGAGTCGTTATAATGTGTATTCTCTGTATATAAATAAAGCAAACAAACAAAAAACCGATGGATTGATCTATAGATTTAGGACGGATTAATTAAAAAAAAGCAAAACCGACATGTTCACAACTAGTTGAGCACGCACATATTTTATCTGAGAACTCTTCGAATGTGAGAAGGACAATTGTTGACGCGTTGCGGAATTTGTTTTCAAAGCTTGCCAAAAATGTAGAAATGAGTAAAAGAGTGTCGTTCCTCTGAAAAAACAAGTCGTCTTTTATTTATAAAATTGTTGAATTGATTGCGATGATCTTTTGGATCTTGTATCTCGTTAAACATTGTAATCCATTCGGGGATGACAAGATTGTTAACTGCTGATTATTTTTCAGTGAACATTGGTGAAGTGAGAATTCGAACGATTATTCCTATGTGAAATGCGACGTGTGATGAACATGTGTATAGTAGATATATAAAAAAGGCTACCGTAATCTGCGCTGACTAGATGTAACTTTATTGGTTTAGCCGAAGATTTGGCAAAATTTTTTTGTCATTATCAAGGGCACAATAGCAATAAAGTTCCATTTAATCTACATGGATCACTCTATAGTCTTTTTATTCACCTGACGTATAAGAGTAGACACTTTAGCCAACTTTGATTATTATGTGTATTGTATCAACTGCGATTCTTATACGATATGGCTTAAGTATCTCTCTAACTCTGACCTATTTCGTCTATTTCACTCTTTTTTTTCATTTATTTTTTCCCCTTCTCTTCTCGATTTGTCGAATGCTATAGCAGCACATATGTCGCTTATACTAATAAACACCGAATTGGGCTCGAGTGTAAAGTGATCTATAAATTAGACAAGTACATAGAATGGAAATAAAACGAAAGAGAGATTTCCCTCCTTCCGAAAGTCCGTCTCCTGCCTCCTCCTCTATTATGCTTACTAATACTCGATCTATCTTTTTTTCTTGGACACAAAAGGTTTTTTCGAGTGAAATTGCCACGACTTTGGCGTCGCATAATGGCGCAAAGTAAATTCGAATAAAAACTAAGTGTACAATCTCTGCGTAATGCCCTAATACTATAGTATAGATACGTCAATAATGTCGTAAAATACTTGACTTGTCAACCTGTCGAGACTGATAAGCAACTCAAATTATAAATGAAAAAATGGGAGCGTACGTGTAAAATGACTGCCCTAGTTAGACAAATTTCATTGAATACAATAAAGAATGGTTAAAATATCACGCATGTCGTTTATTATTTCTCTCCCATGAATTATCAAATGAGAGAACAAATATCCGTACAGTCAAATATTTCTATAGGAATACATATTTTAAGAAGTCGTCGAAGGTCAGAATTTTACCTGAAAGGTCATTTCATTGATTATGTTTGCATAAATTTACACATGAATAACTTCAGAAAGAAATCCTATAACATCAAATAGTACAATATATGGAAAGCAAGCTAAACAGGGTAAGTATATTTTCGACTACTAATGAATTAAGAGTAGTATCAGCAATGTTTAGGGACCTATCACAATTCAAGTACGTGAATGTGAAAAGTACATCAGCTGTTGTTCTACTCATACGAATCGACTTCATTTATATCTGTAATAAACCATAAAAATATTTTCACTTTAAATAAGTATTGATGTGCTCAATCGATTTGAACAATTCTTAATCGCCTGCATCAATTTTTCAAACGTTCCATTTAATAGTTTAAATAGTATCATACATTTATAAACTTCTTCGACGAATAATCTTTTACAGAAACTGGACGTAGCTGAAGTGCTACTTGGAATTGAAATTGAATTATAATATTACATTACATTTTCTGGTAGAATGATGAAGGAATATTATAATATTTCTAAAGTGGTTTCTCAAAACATAGAGTAAGGACAATGCAAATGATGAAAAATAAGAATTTTATTTTTATATTACCAAAAAAGCATTAAAAGTAAAATAATCATTATATACATACTAACAACTTGTAGAGGATACTATGATGGTTCAATATACCGTCTTGATAGAAATTAATGCGTATATTTAACATTAATATGCAAATAAATAAAATAATGTACAGTGGCTTTAAGATATATATAATAAAATATAGTATGTAATTAAAGTCATAAATTTAGATGAGATCGAGGCAGTGATCTCATCATTGTTACAGATACAACGTAATATAACGACGGGCAAAAGTAGTTTCGATCAATGTATTCTGCGCCCTGTATCACAAATATGCCCACGAACCTAAATATATCAG